TCTCTATTCCAGCTTTCTTCACCTGGATCCTTGCCATCAACCTTCTTCTGATCCACTCAAACATGTCCACAATAGCCATATCCCTAGCTTCCAAAATGTAGTTGTTGAAGGACTCTGAAAGATTATTAACTATCACATCACACACTGCATTAGGAGAAAAGAAACATCTTGCCCAGTGTTCTTCAGGGACAGCCTTCAACCATTCAAATGGAGTTTCCTGATATATTATATTAAAATAAAATAAGACAATGAGATGTTATTTAAAATCTCAAAGTACAAAATACCTACAACAAATTTCATATCAAAGCATGAACACAAAGTAATATAAATTGAACACAAAAAGTATTGTTCAAAGCATGAACACAAAACATTGTTCAAAGCAATTGGTGGTAAAACATTATTCAAAACATGAACACAAGGTAAAAAATACCTACAGCAAAACAAAAAAAAAATAAAAAATACCTACAGCAAATACAAAACACACAATAGGTTATTCAGAACAAAAGCATGAAATGAACACATAGTATTGCTAGAATGGATCATTGAGAAATGAATAACACAAAGTGAAGAACAAAAGCATGAAAAATACAGCAGGTTTTTGTAAGGAAAAAAATACCTTGCCATCCTTCTTAGGAAAAAGCTTTTGGATTTGACTCATGCACCTGAGATGCTCTTTGACATTGTATGTGCTGGAAGCCTTCCAAAACCATTTCCTCAATTCTAGATCCCCCCACTTCTGCTTAAAATTGTTGTACATGTGCTTCAAGCAATATCTGTGCTCTGCCCCATCAATTTCACTCACAGCTTCAAGCAAACCCTTTTGTCTATCTGAAACAAAAGTCTATTTTTTCTCCTTGTAAGGGTCTACATCCCTCATTAGCCTTTCAAGGAACCACCTCCAAGAATCAGTCTTCTCAACTTCCACATATGCCATTGCAATTGGTAGCATATTGTCATTTCCATCCCTACCAACTGCTGAAAGAAGTTGACCACCATGAAGAGTCTTCAGAAAGCATCCATCAAGCCCTATAATTGGCCTACAACCAGTTAAAAATGCTTGCCTCATTGCAGTTAGGCAAACATACATCCTCATGAACTTTGGAGGTGAAAAATCATTGTTCAACTTGAGGATAAGAGAGCTACCAGGATTGTACTTGGCCACTGTGGAGCAGTAGTCATATAGCCTCTTATATTGTTCCCCATAGTCAACCTTCAACAAAGAAAGAGCATACACCTTGGCCCTGTATGCCTTGTGCAAACTAACCTCAACCCTACAATGCCTCTTGATTTTGTTTTTCAGACTTGGCAGACTCTCAGTAGGATTGTCCCTCAAAGTATCTAGCATTCTTTTTCCAAGATACTTGTAGTCTGCTTGTGTGTTCTCTGTCCTGTAAGCACATGAGTGTGTGCCTTTCAATGTCTTGATTTGAAATGTGGACAAACCTCCAATAACTGAGGCCCTCAAGAACCAGTCACACCCACTCTTACATTTTGCTATGATAAGCTTGGCTTCATTTTTTGGGAACTTCAAATCATATCCCTTTCTAACAGACCAATCTCTAATCACCTCCTTAAATGTTGCTCTGCATTCATATTTTTGACCAACCTTCAACTCAAACCTTGACATGTCAGTACCATTAATCCATTCATCAGGCTCTCCAAAGCAGTTGTCATCATCCTCAGGGTCACTGTACCAATCTTCTGTTGTAGACCTTCTTGCAACACCAGCTTCTTTTCTAGCCTTCTTTTTCTGCTTCTTTCTTTGTTTCAGCCATTCTCTTTCCCTCTTGTGTACCTTCTTAGCATGATCATGTTCTCTCTGTTGGAATATATCATCATCATCAGGGCCTTCTAAATCCTCCAATTCCCATTCAGATAAATCTGAGGAATCACCATCACCACTGTCTTCTTGAGGTTCATACTCTGAATCCTCTGAATCCTCTGAATCTCCAAATTGTTGTTCTGCAACTTCATCTTCAAATTGTTGTTCTGCCACTTCATCTTCAAATTGTTGTTCTGCCTCCTCATGAAGATGGTCCTCCTCATGGCCAACTATTTGGGATTCTCCTTCATCATGTGAACAGGGTCTTGCACCAGCACTGGTTGTCTCATCTCTGTGGACATCACCATCAACTGTGGCTTCACAAGCAGCAGCACCAGCACCATCCACCTTACCAGCACCATCATCTCTTTGTACAGCACCATTAACTGTGGCTTCACAAGCAGCAACACCAGCACCATCCACCTCACCAGCACCATCATCTCTTTGTGTAGAATCCACCTCACCAGTACCATCATTTGTTTCTGTAGGATCCACCTCTTAAGCACCATTATGTGTATCAGCTTCTTTATTTGATTGCAAATCATCTTGGTGTGGTGATTCATGGTGTGGTGATTCTTGGGGCTCTTCAATAAATGGATATTCAATAAGGAGGGGCTCTTCTTGTGAAGACATCAGATTGCCTTCTGGGTCCATTCTTTGTATAGGGCCTTGCAAATCTTCAAAGTAAAGTGGTATATATAGCTGCCCTGCATAATGCTTCACCAACTTCAAAATATCTTTGTCAGAATCAATCTTCAGCAACTTCTTTGATGTTTGAAGAGTCTTTCCAGGCTTGTGTGAAAAAATATCAACTGCAGATGCTTTGCCACCTGCTCTCCTATAGACATCCATGATTTCAAAAATGGATAACCTATCAACATCGTACCAGTCAACTGCAACTCTTTGGCCACCAAAGTATCGCCTAAAAGGCAACCATACTATCTCTCCCCCAACTCTAACATCAAACACAACAGCCATTTTCTGCAAACAAACAATATGATTCAGAGCACAATTCAGAGCAATAATAACCCTATTTCCCAACTCGAATAATAACCCTATTCAGAAGCACAAAAATTACATAAAATCCCTAATTCCCAAATATAATAGCATAAAACAAAAAAAGCCCTGATTTCAAAATATGAAAACCCTAAATTCTAAATCCGAAGCACAATATTACATAAAAGCCCTATAAATAATTAAGCCTGATTACAAAATCAAAAAGCCCTAAGTTTCAAACCCTAATTTCAAAATCAGAAGCACAAACAAATAACCCTAATCTTAAAATCGAAAAGCCCTAATTTCAAAAATCATAATCCCTAATTTCCAAAATCAAAATCTCTAATTTAAGTAATCAGATAAAACTGAAAACTGAAGCACGAAGCACGAAAACTGAAAACTGAAGCTATCGTATTTCGCCCAATTTCATCTCAGAAGCATGAAGTCACGAGAACTGAAAACCCTAATTTCAAAATTCACTATATAAATCGACTATAACATAACGAATTAAACGACTATAACTATATACCAGATTCGAATAATACCTTATATGTCTTCAAGATGAAATTCGCCGCAAGTTAGAACCCTAAATTGTCGAATTTCAGAGATGCAATTGGGTGCAACTCCTCAAACAATCTGAATTTAGAGTGACGGGCTTCAATTTTCATATGAATTTAGGGTGCGGGGCTTCAATTTTGATATGAATTTAGGGTGTGGAGCTTCAATTTTTCGAAGGAAAAGTGACGATCGCGAAGAGAGAGAGAGAAATTATGTTTCTGGTTCAAATTGTATAATATAAAATATAAAAGAGGGCATAACGGGAAGTTTACAAAAACATTAACGGGGTTAACACTCAAACATAACTTGGGGAGCGTCAGCTCGTCAACCGTTAATAGAAGGGGGTCCGACGCAATTTTTATATTAGAGGGGGGAAAGGCGCAGATTTAGTATAATACAGGGGGGTTTGGTGCATTAAACCCAGGAGAAAAGATAGAATCCTTTACATAACATGGCTGATATACTCATAGCCATTCAAAATGCTGCTATTTTTAGGATTTGCCCACTTTTTGTGTGTGCTTGTGTGTGCAGAGAGCATACCATATTGCAATTAGCACACAAAAAATATACAGGTGAAATATAAAAAAAAATATCAGAAAAAAGCAGAAGGGAAAAAGAAGAACAAAAAATCCCTTCTGTTCCCATTTTTCATTTCATGCTTTATCATTCACCCACCAACACTTTTATGCTTCAGCATAATTCAGATTTAAAGAAAGAAAAGGAAAAAAAATCCATTACAACCTCAAAAGAACATTTTGTTTTTTCTTTTTGCCTCCAATTTGTCTTTTACATTTGTCCAAAGCCAAAAAGAACACATTCTTTTGCCTCATCATTGAAGCACCTTCTCGCCTTGCCTCATATTATCGCAATTCACAATTCTTGGGAGCAAAAAAACGTAATCTTTTTCGTCTATCGCCATAATCAATCGATCAGTGGTTTCCTCATTTGCTGATTAGAATCATAAAGGGCTCGAAGAGAGGAAGAGGAAATCGAGAAAATTCCTGTTGGGTTGGGTGCCGTTGAAGGCATTTTTTAAAAAAAAAAAATGCAGGCCAGGTGTTTGATGAAATGCGAACGAAGGCTTATTGTTCCTACTAGATTGAGATGACACATTGAGGCCATACATTGTGACAGGATCATCGATCACAGGCGGAAAACGTTGATTCACATGGCTAGCCCACGCGCACGAGATAAGCTACATACAGGCAATCCCAAAATGAATGAAAAAAAAAAAAAAATTGCTAACAATAAATCTCTTTCTTATATACAGATTTTATTTTTCGACGTTTTTCTTGCTAAGTTTTGTCTGAAATATCTGTTTGTGTATTAAGATCCCCCATGGAGTTCTTATTGTATTCATTGCAGTGGTTTAACGATAAAAGGGCCTTCTTTTATCATGGTTTCTGATTACAAAAGACTTTGTAATATGTCAAATCTGATAGAAATATGTCAAATCTGTTCATGCTGGGGCTTAGTGGTTCTGTATTCATTATGTGGGCCATTGTGATTAAATTTATGATTAGTAGTTTAATCGAATTGAAGCCTGAATACTTTGTAAAATTTGGCTTTGTTCACATCTTAACTCTGTTTTTCATTAGTTCATCTTGTGGTGATGTGATCAGATATGGAGTTGATGAAGGAAAAATTTGCAAAGTTGCTCCTAGGTGAAGATATGTCCGGTGGTGGAAAAGGTGTTTCTTCAGCTTTGGCTTTGTCAAATGCCATTACAAACTTAGCAGGTACTTATAACTCGAAAAACAAAATGAAAATATAGTACTTTTCATCAGTAAAAACTAAAAAGTTATAAATTCAGTTGTTTTCTATCATTTATAATTACTAAATTATGATATTCTTTGTCAATAATTTGCCATAGATCTTATTTTTAGTCATGCAAAATGTCTGGCTGGCTTATCTACAATTTTATTTTATTTTATTTTAACTGCATTCAGCTTCTGCATTTGGAGAGCAGAAGAGACTTGAACCCATGGCACCCGATACCAAAGCAAGATGGAAAAAAGAGATAGATTGGCTCTTATCTGTCACCGATTACATTGTTGAATTTGCACCTACAAAACAAACGTCAAAAGATGGAGTCAGCATGGAGGTCTCTCTCTCTATCTGAATGGATGTGAAATGTATATGATTAATGTGTAAAATAAAACCACATGCACAATCGACATCGCCCATCAATTTAATTTTTTTTTTTAATTTCAATTAAATAATGCGGGGAAGAAGTAGAAAATTTCTGTTCAAATCACTATAATGTTACTTTCCTCAAACACGCGCTCCGCAAGATTACCTTGTATATT